TTTCATTAGCATTCATTTTATTAACACTTTCAGTGATTTTCGAAACAACAAATGCAGAGGTCAGCGCATTGTTGAGATTTTAAGTTTCATGTTCCTTGTTGTGTTTTGATCATATTATTTTCACTTTTACAAGTCATTATAGCGGCGTGAGAACAACTACTTTAGCTTTTTTTTTTTCTTTTTTTTTTAGATTCAATATATCACGTAGAAGCACCTTACAAGGTAATCTGTAGCTTCATTAGTAACGAGGTACCTGAAACCATCATAATAAAATAGTGTAATAGTGTAATTATAGTAGCACGTAGCACAGAAAGCCGGAAAGCTTAACTCTACAAATATCTATTATCACCTTTAATAACACAGATCTGGATGTCTTTCAGTACCTATATACGTTAATCGAGAAAAACATTAATAAGATAGACAATTCTTTAATCAGATACGAATTCAAGATCAGAGTTTACTCGCAATATTTTCTTCCCAGTTTAAAATATCATATTACAGTCAATGACATTTGTGCTTCTCATCTAGTTAAGATCGACGCTCTCTGTAACAGATATTTAAAGAAGTGGTTTGGGCTACCCCATCCTGGGACATTATTTATTCATAAGCCTAAGAGAATCAACATTCCCCGAGTATCTGATCTATATAAGGAATGCTACTTGGTGGCTCATATTTCATCTAGGTTTAAAGGAGGTGATACTGTTAACCACCGTCTTAATACTCGTCTTGAGCGTGAGATTAACTGGACAAGGAAGAAATCAAATGCCACTGACTGTGAATCTAGACTGAAAGACATCCAGAACTCTGACCCCAACCTTAATCTTAATCAGATACAAAATATCGCAAGAAAAACCTTAGAGAGGAAATACAAAATTTTTGGGACCTCTATGTTAGGGGGCTCCTTGTCCAGGGAAGGTTCTTTGAACTGCTTTCCCTCCAAGACACATGTCATCATTGGAAAAGTATTATTTTTAATTTGCCAAGGGGGGATCCTTAATTTTTTTGTCAATGCTCTTGGAGACTCACTCAACACCAGGGTTAATCTACATAGATGGGGAAAATCCAACTCTGTAAAATGCAGTTCATGTGGTAACCGGGAAACTCTTAATCACGTTCTTAATTTTTGTCAAAGATCCCTGGACCAGGGGCGCCTTATATGGAGGCACAATAACATCCTCAATCATATTGTTAAGACTCTTAAGAAAGGTTTTTGTAACGCTACTTGTATCCCTGAAGTCCTATCCGACCTCGGAGCCAGCACCCAGCATTTTCACTATACTACCATTCCCCATGAATGCTTACCAACTAACTTAATACCAGATTTATTGGAAAAACCTAAAGAAGCTCCTCATTTTTTAACTTACCGTCCCTTTCGAAACTGGCATCGATGCCGCCCATTCCAGAAAATGTAACAAATATGCACCACTAATTTCTGATATTATAGATGCTGGCTTTGAGGTTGAATTCGTCTGTTTCGAAGTAGGCTCCAGAGGATACATTTCCCCTGATAATATTAAACGTTTAAAGAAAATCCACAAATTGTGCAATAATTCAATTTTATTTAAACAACTTCGAAACGATATCTCCAAAATTGCAATTGTTTCCTCTTTTACTTTATACTATGCCAAAGATCAACCCTCTTGGGTTAATCCGCCTCTTTTTGAACTGACAATTTAATTGAATGCAGTCTCCCTAATTAGATGATAGGCCGGCCTCTATATTTATACTTTTATATATTGGTATATTTTGTGTCTTAATGTTTTTGTATGTCAAATCATTTAGCCTTGCGTGCTCCCAGTTTTGGGACACTGTTCTGGGCTCTTTATTTGTTTCCTGTATTGTTTTTACTCAATAAAGTGATTTTATATATATTATCATTAAATTGAGGATTGTATAACGAAATAACTTTGTTATATTCTTAACTAAAACTGTTCTTATTATAAAATTATTGTGAAATCAGTGGTTATCGTCTGCTTTTTATAAACAAATTAATGAATGTAAAATATCTAAATTTCGAATAATTGCAGACTAAAATTGAAATAATAATTATAATACATTGTATAATGAAAGTCATCGAGTAGGTTTATAATGTTTCTAATAATGACATCATGGCAAAATAGCTTTTTTTTCAATATTGAGAAGTGTTATAATTTTCAATAATTTATAGTTGTCAGCGTATTTAATATACCGAATGGTAGACAAGATTCTGATCTTTAATCACGTGATAGGTCTTATCGTCATCAACATCTCGGCATCTTGACGTTGAGCCACCTGCAGCCGCAGAGCGTTGGATGGTCGTGTCATACTTCTGTCCGCCAATGTCATGGTACATGGATGTCGTACTAGTATACTCGTTTAAGACTGTAAATGCTGTCTCTTATACACATCTAGATGTGTATAAGAGACAGTCCTTATAGTCATCAACATCTCGGCATCTTGACGTTGAGCCACCTGCAGCCGCAGAGCGTTGGATGGTCGTGTCATACTTCTGTCCGCCAATGTCATGGTACATGGATGTCGTACTAGTATACTCGTTTAAGACCGGTATGTAGGCCTGGTGGTTGTTCGAAGACTGGGTTCTGGATATGAGTTATTGATGTCTGGTAATTTGTCGAATCCAAATTGTTATTCTGTGAGTGTTTTAGGGAGGTAGTAGACAGACATAATTATTAGGATTATACAATAATAATACAACGATATTTGCTCACAAGTTTTAAGGAATGAACAAACCAATAATATTCACGTCTGTAGTAAAGAAAAATCAATGAAGATTTGCACTTTGAAGATTGTATTTCATTAAAAATGTCAGTGGTTTCCAAGTAGATAAGACGTTAGTAGTGCAAACTGCAATGTTGTATGGTTGTTTGGTTTGGTTCAGTGTAAGAAAGGGAACTTACGAAAGTTAAAAGTCATTATTAATAAGGCTTATAAATTGTTCTATGGAATTGTTTCCACTAATGATATTTTATAAAAACCGAATATAAATGAAAAAGGCGACCGCTATCATAAATTACGCCAACCACCTACACAATTAGTACCGTAAGGTCTGGGCTGCGCTTTAAAACCTCATGTGTAGAATCTGAAGACTTTTTTTACCATACTCCATACTTTTTTTTATTATTATTATTAATTAACAACTCATAGTTGGCTGCATGATAACGTAACGATAACATAATTATTCAGTAGTTTAGGTAAATTGTTTAAAATTCATATTCGTCTGTTAACTTTTGTGAATGTTTAGAGTAATTGTGCTCCATTTTTTTTTCAAAAAGACACACGAAATATGATTCTGATCCTGATAATAGAGAAAGCAGGGGCGGGTCCAGAGATTTTCAAAAGCAGGGGGGAGGGGGGAAAACTGGGACCGATCGAGATAGTACTAGCCTAGGTTGTCCGGGGCATGCCCCCGCGAATTTTTGTTGTGCTCTAGACGCCCGAAAATAACGTCTCGGGCGTTTTTAGGGCGATCAGTTTTTTTCATTTTTCTTTTTTTTCTTTCTTTTTTTACATTCCAAAAGGGGGTGCGCCGGGGCCGGCCCTCTCCCCCCTAAATCCGCCCCTGCAAAGCCACAGCAAACGATAACCATTTGATTCCAAGGGACTTGTTTGTGGAGTGGTCCTTTAAAAAAGTGTGTAGGAGAACTAGGAACTAATCCTATATTATTGTCTTGGGTTCAAATCATATGAAACTAAGATATTTTTTTTCTCACGACTCAAACACCTTCACTCTTTAAGCCTCGGGTTGGGAATGATTATTACCATTTTATGTATTTCTGAGTAGACCCTGGATACCAGCCACCTTTTAGCTAGAAAGATTAACCAGTCTAAAAATGTGGTTAAAATTGGAACCTAAAGCTGTGTCAGGATTTTTGGTAATATGAAAATTATAATTTTGATAATTAACAGAACTGTATATAGATTACCTTTTATAACTTACTGCATAAGTTTAGCATTGGAGTGAGCCCTCAATAATTATTACGAGCAACGAATAAAATTCATTATTTAATTTATAAAGTTAATGCCTTGTTTACTTCTATATGTCAGAATCAAACCCGAGACTTACCGATTTATCCTTGTTATTCCAGCATATACCTGTCTGCTGTAAGATAATAACAGTTAGTATAAATGAAACAAGATAGGATAGTAGACCAAGTAAATAACATTTTATTTTATAAATAAATGACTAATTTGGTGGTTGCTATATAACTAACTAAATTAGGATTGTTTTCTATGTTTATCACGATAATTCGTAGAATATGAATTATGAAAATACAAATTCCACCACAACTATGGCCTCGCTGTTCATCAGTTGCTCAATTCGAACGTCCATTTGAAGGTCTCCTGAGCTTAATTATCTTTCTCCATAGTGCGGTTGTTCTGTTTTCAATTGCGACCATTTCGTTTTAGTTAAAATATCTATTTTAAATTTTCACAAGTACAGGTGTGTCTTAATACCATGTGATTTAATATCTATACTTATATATCAATAAATAAAGAACAGTAGGCCTATATGTATATATTGTGTGTTTGATATTCAAATTCAAATTCAAATAAGTTTTATTTCCATTCATCAAAATTCAGGAAAATACAAATCGTGAAATATTTCAAGACAATACAAAATTGATAATTGATTAAAATAATTAAGTAATAATACACAATGATAAATGGAAAAGGGGTATTCAAAGCAAGCAAGATCTTTAAGAATGAACAACCCGAACAACGAAACATAAAGATACATACCTGAAAACAAAACTAACAAACTTAAACTTATTTATTATTCATAACTTGTGACTGTAGATTGAGACAGATAATGAAAATTAGATTTTCTGTTTATAAACTAATAAGATATAGATATTATTCTTGTTGTTATTATTTTTATTATTATTATTATTATTATTATTATTATTATTATTATTATTGTTATTATTAGTATGTGTTTCTATTGTCGGAAAGTCAAAAGAGGACTACGAATTTAATGATTCATCAAGTTGGAGGCTTACCGTTGATATGTAAATAACGAAACCAGCAGTAATGCAAGTACGATCGATGCAATTTCAGTTACGGTAAAATGATTTTCATTTACTGAGTATAAAAAGAAGAAATATAAATATAAATGTTAGCAAGGAGCTGTGGTGTGATGGTGATTTTTCTTAGCTAAATATAATTTGGTAAACCAAAATATGCTCAGTTCTCACTCTTTATTATCGAAGATTTATATTATTTTATTGATATAGATGTATTTGTGCTATAACTATTAAAACATTGTAATTATTCGTATTTTCATTTGTTTTGTGTTTTTATTTAATTAAATTTGATATTCTGTTCAACCATTATCCCGCTTAAAACGAAACATAGGTGTTAAGTTGTCAAATCCCACGATCACCCACTTCCTACCAAAACTGAAAACAAAAAAAACTGTTCATCTCTGTATTTCAAAACCGACAATTACCATTTTTACGTAACAACTTCTTCTCTACCTTATACATATTTACTTTCTCTTATTAACTCTTTTAGTAATAATCTACTTTCTACCAACCCTCATAAAAATCCAGTTCCATTTTGTCATTGTACTTTTGTATTCACTTTATATCTGCATTATGATTACTGTGTTATGATGACGCAGCTATTAGCCCTTTATGGATTAGGTAAAGAACATAAATATGAGATTGAAATTGAATTCAATTATATACGGTAGTCTTTGTGACTTACACGAATTTCTCTGTACCCTATACACGTTCTCTTTCTCTTATTTATTTTTCTATTTTTGTATTTACTGTTTTATTTTCGTTATAATTAATGTGTTGCGTTGACGCAGTTATAGCCCTTGCTAAATTGAGTAAAGAATATAATTGATATTAAAACTGAATTGAATTCTGTGCTATACCAAATCCAATTATAAGCTCTTTGACTTCTATGAGACAATGTTTGTCTTTATTAATAACATTTATGAATAGCATTGCAAATAATTTTCTACAAAACGATCTTGGAAAACAGTTCCTTACTTGTGGACCTGTATGACTGTGGCATATATACGGTGTAGTTATTATTATCTTTTGTTCTGCTAAAGATATACGAGCCTCCACTTTCAGCATCATGGTTCCTTACATAGATTACGAAACCGTACACAGTCCCAGGGTTCAAATTTTCAAAAGACAGACTCTGTTTCTGTGAAGAGTTACTGCCTTCAATTTCGATTGGTTCACTCCAAATACTTGGCAGCGGAGTGATACACTCAACAGCAAATAATATAGTCCCACCGCAGTCACTGATGGTGTTCGACTCCCATTTTAGAATGAAACTGTCAGCTGTGACGTTTTCAATGCGTACGGATCTGACTGGCTCAATGCTTTTGCAACCTGTTCAGAAATATAACATTTATTCAGTTAGCTAATCAGTCTTAGCTAACGAATTGAAAATGCCGCGCTGAAATTTACTTATGGATTTGATTTTTGAGTTTTTACATGTTTTATTGACTATTTGTACTGTATTTATTAAATATCAACATTCTTTAATACTTACGATAGGTGTTTAACTTCAACGTAGGAGAATTAAAATGTGTTGATGCTGTAATAATAATAATAATAATAATAATAATAATAATAATAATAATAATTATGACATACTTTTAATAATAATATAACAAGTATTTTACCATCACATTATGCTGTGTATTAGACCTCAGTTATCCAAATGCGACTAAAGCGGCCAAAGATCATTGTTAAGTTTGTATGGATAAAAAGAAAACTGAGTAGTGTTGATGACATTAATGATGACAAATTGAGTGTATTTAGCTGAAAAGCAATAAAGAAGTATAGATACCCTATTGATAGCTAGATACCCACGAATGAACGTTGTGTCACTCCAACTCAACATGTGACCAATCGAAACGTGTTATGTAGCTAGATACCCACGAATGAACCTTACATTGTGTCGCTCCAACTCAACATGTGACCAATCGAAACGTGTTATGCGGAAGCATAACGTGTTTTGTCGTATTGTCGGGCCTGAGCAACAGTACCAAGGGGAAGATTCTTAAGTGAAGTGAAACAATTGTAATCTTACCATTAGTGATGTTATGTTCAGCTGAACAAAAAATTGCTTCGTTGTCATGGGTTTTGTCAGTTTTCAGAGCCAAAATCTTAACAACATGATATAAGTTGATGTCATTTGTTACGGAAGTATCTTCGTATATTAATTGAGCATCCATAGATGAATTAAAATGAAATTCGAGACTGGTATAAAGATAGGGAGATGTGGTATGACACTTTAGTACAACATAGCCATTTGTGGCATCATTGATGTTGTTTCCGTCAATTGGTGCAATAGGGATAACAGAAAGCTGAACTTCATCCACTAGAAACAAAAATGATTTTAGTTAGTATTTGAGGCTTTGATTTGTTAAAATACTAAAATTTTAGGTAAGTTAGCAAAAAAATAAACTATAAGGAGCCATAAGTGACAAAAGCGAATGTTAAAATCAAAGTTTACAGCAATATTATAAAAGCAGTGTCTATTAAAAAAAAAAAACCTACGCCTAATTTCTCAAACGTCTAATTTATCAAAACTTACTTCCTATATTTCAAAGGTAGGTCTAACTTTTTAACGTCAGTCAAGTTTTTCCAAAACGTGTCTAATTTTTCAAAGTCTAATTTCTTCAAATGAAGGTCTAATTTCTTTAGAACAATGGTTGGCAAAGTGCGGCCCGTCAGTGTTTTTTTTTTTCTGCGGCCCGCGAAAATGAATTGAAAACCCTATGTTTGCGGCCCGCCAAACATCATTGGAAAGCAAACACCTTGTTTTTTATGGCTCGGTGACCGATCATCTGTAAAAGTAATATAAAAACTGAGAATAAAGTGGTATAAAAGCAGTGCATGCAGGTTTTAGCCCTCAGAGTTAAATCAAAAATTCATTTTGGCCCTCCCCCCAATTGTTATGCTTTAGAAAAACATTCTTCCAACGACAATTTGAAGTTTATATGTCTATAGTTTATTGAAAAGATATTTGAACTTATTCGCAACAAATAAAAAACGGTATTATAACGTTCGCAAAGGTTAGTCTACAAAAGTACAGTTTAGTTGTAAAATTACTTTATAAATAGGTATTTATAGAACTACAGAAATGGTAATGCTCTTATGACGTAAAATTGTTAGCATTGATTACACAAAATATAATAATTGTTGAATACACATAATATATAACCCAATGACATTTCTATTTGGAAATAATGGAATTGAATGTTATTTGGAACAAAGAACATATTGAGGAATACATCCCACCCGAGAACAACTTGCGATTTTTTCGTAGTTGTTTTCAAATGTACTGAGTATTCTGTACATTTCCACGTCAGGTAGGGCAAAAATTACACCTATACATGTTTCTCCTGACGCAAATCCAGTTATTGTCTATTATTCAATCTCGACAATAACAATTACTATCAACACTGCAGTACCCGCTACTTACTTGGACTCGAATTCAACCCTGGCCATCAGGCGCATGCTCGGTGGTCTAGAGGTATGATGCCAGGCTAGTGATCTGGAGATCGTGGGTTCGAGTCCCACCCGAGAACAACTTGCGATTTTTTTCGCAGTTGTTTTCAAATGTACTGAGTATTCAAATATACTGAGTATTCGGTACATTTCCACGTCAGGTAGGGCAAAAATTACACCTATACATGTTTCTCCTGACGCAAATCTAGTTATTGTCTATTGTTCCATCTCGACAATAACAATTACTATCAACACTGCGGTACCCGCTGCATTATTTCCCACCCGAGAAAAACCTGCGATTTTTTCGCAGTTGTTTTCAAATATACTGAGCATTCGGTACATTTCCACGTCAGGTAGGGCAAAAATTACACCTATACATGTTTCTCCTGACGCAAATCCAGTTATTGTCTATTATTCCATCTCGACAATAACAATTACTATCAACACTGCAGTACCTGCTGCTTACTTGGACTCGAATTCAACCCTGGCCATCAGGCGCAAGCTCGGTTGTCAGAGGTATGATGCCAGGCTAGTGATCTGGAGATCGTGGGTTCGAGTCCCACCCGAGAACAACTTGCGATTTTTTCGCAGTTGTTTTCAAATGTACTGAGTATTCGGTACATTTCCACGTCATGTAGGGCAAAAATTACACCTATACATTTAAAATTAATATAAATATTCTCATTCAATTTCCTGTAAAATGAGTGCCTAAAAACAAACAAATATTATGGTAATTGAATAAAAATGATGGAGTTTCAATATTAAAACAAAAAATCAATTTAATACATGTAACTTTGATGGTGACTGTTTAAAATGTGTAACTTAATGTGCTTCACTGTTTGTTATACTAATTGCATTTTAAGATGATTTATTTATAATTTTCAACAAAACAAAAGCAACCTAATTATTCTTTACCGTGTATTTTTAACTGTATAGTGATGTTGTAACGACCAAGTGTCTCAAGGACTAAACATCTATACGTTCCATTCGTTGTAACACTGGATATGACGATAGTGAATAGGTTGGATGAGTTCTGTAATCGAAACCTAGAGAACGGTAACATATGCCCGCTATTGAACACTATGTTATCATTATAATAACATCGAAGTTCCACAAAATTGTCAGAGTAAAAACTGGTTGACGCAGATCCACCATTAATGACGTACAATGTCTTGGAAACATTTTTGCATTGGTGACCACCACTGCAGCAAGATGCCTTGATGAGGCTGCCTAAAGACACAAACTAATGGACTTTACACCACTGAGATACATATACTGTATATCACACAGAAAGAGCGATAAACATTTTAGGGTAAAAATAGTAAAACAAATTGATTAACGAACTCATTGTATTTCAAATTTGTTTGCGTTATGCGCATATTAGTGACGAATATTCCCTTAATAACATTTAAAGTCCAAATGATAATAAAATGTCTAACACGTAGGCTTATTGTTTTACTTACAGAGACCTATGACAAATATTAGGTAGTAGTTCATCAGGAGTAGGCTTACATCGATATGCTACCATCAGACTAACAGTGAAAGATGTGACTAAGGACAGAGCATGTATTACTTATATATCTGCTGCATACAAGCAATCTTAGATATTACGTCTGATATAAAGGAAGGTACGGATTAGTTAGTTTCTATAATGAAGGAGATACTTTCCATCTAAGAGTTCTGAAGACATTTCAACATTTCAATATTTAAAAAAACTCAAAGCCTTATAGACTATATAATTCAATATTTCAATATATAAAAAACGCCTATATATATATATTTATATATATATATATATATATGTCTATATATATATATATATACATATATATACATACATATACAATTTTCTTGATCTTAAGTTTATAATATCATTCATAGTAATCTCGATTGTAATCTTATTTCAAGTTTCTTTATTAATGTCCCATCTCGTACGTTAAGAAGTAAACCCACATTTTATGTTCCTTTTGGGAGTGTTAATGCCATGATGGCTAACATTAATAGTATGAAAATTAGTGGATGGCGAGGAAAGTGAGGGGTTCGGGACAATCGGAGGGGAGTTGGGAACAATTTTGTTCGAAAACGACAGATAGTTCCTAAAAATCACTTAAGGCCTAACATAATGGTGTTATCCATCATTATCGAGGTTAGGCCTAGTATATAGGGACGGAGCTCACGTTTTCCCCACCTTTTTTAGTTTTCACTCATTTTAACAGGCCTACTGGTATGCGCAAGGGTTGTAAATGTAGATAATTATTGCTTGAAAAGGGTAGATTGTTCCTGAAAATTCCTTGTGGGGATCGAGATTAATTAGAGGAAGACCGGATGTCCCGTTTAATGCCCCAAGGGACTTTTTATAATTTTCACTCATTTTCATACTGGTGGTGGGAATAAATATAGGTAACGATTTTTCAAAAACGGCAGATTGTTCCTGAAAATCAAGTGGTAGGATTATGGAGTGATACCCCCTCACTTACCCTATCGAGCTTAGAGTGGGACCGGAGGTCCCGTTTAATAGCCCCACCTTTTTTATAATTTCCACTCATTTTCATATATATTGTATGCGGGATCGGTGTAAATGTTGGTAACAATTTAACGAAAATAACAGATTGTTCCTGAACATCCCTTGGTGAAATTATGCTGCGATATCCTCTCATTCACCCCATTGAAGTTGGATGGGACCGGATATCCCGTTTAATAGCCCACCTTTTTTTTTAAATTTTCACTCATTTTCATTTTATGCGGGATAGGTGTACATTTTGGTTACAATTGCTCGAAAACGGCAGATTGTTCCTGGAAATCTCTTGGTTTGATTATGGTGTAATACCCCCTCATCCAACCCATCAAAGTTAGAGTGGGACCGGAGGTCCCGCTTAATAGCTCCGACCATTTTCCTCATTTTCGTACTGGTATGCGGGAGGGGTGTAAATGTAGGTAACGATTGCTCGAAAATGGCAGATTGTTCCTGAAAATCAGTTGGTAGAATTATGGAGTGGTAACCCCTCATTCACCCTATCGAGGTTAGAGTGGGACCGGAGGGCCTGTTTAATAGCCCCATCTTTTTATAATTTCCACTCAATTTCATATATATTGTATGCGGGATCGGTGTAAATGTTGGTAACAACTGCTCGAAAACAGCAGATTGTTCCTGGAAATACCTTGGTTGGATTATGGTGTAATACCCCTCATTCAACACATCGAATAGCTCCCACCATTTTAATTTTCCTCATTTTCGTACTGGTATGCGGGAGGGGTGTAAATGTAGGTAACGATTGCTCAAAAACGGCAGATTGTTCCTGAAAATAAATTGGTAGGATTATGGTGTGATACCTTCTCATTCAACCCATAGAGGTTAGAGTGGGACCAGAGGTCCCGTGTAATAGCCCCCACCATTTTTATTTTCACTCATATTTGTACTGGTATGCGGGAGGGGTGTAAATGTAGTAACAATTTCTGGAAAATGACAGATTGTTCCCGGTAATCCCTTGTTGGAGTTATGGTGTGATACCCCCTAATTCACCGCATCGAAGTTAGAGTGGGACCGACGGCCCCGTTAAATAGCCTCACCTTTTTATAACTTCGACTCATTTCCAAACTGGTATGCGGGAGAGGTGTAAATGTAGGTAACGATTACTCGAAAACGGCAGATTGTTCCTGAAAATCAGTTGGTAGGATTATGGAGTGGTAACCCCTCATTCACCCTATCGAGTTTAGAGTGGCATCGGAGGTCCTGTTTAATAGCGGGATCGGTGTAAATGTTTGTAAAAATTTCACGAAAGTAGCAGATTTTTCCTGAACATCCCTTGGTGAGGTTATGCTGCGATACCCCTCAATTCACCCTATTGAAGATGAATGGGACCGGAGGTCCCGTTTTTATGCAGGATAGGTGTACATGTTGGTAACAATTGCTCGAAAACGGCAGATTGTTCCTGAAATTCCTTGGCGGGGTTACGGTGTGATACCCCCTCTCTCACTGCATCAAAGTTAGAATGGGACCGACGCCCCCATTTAATAGCCTTACCTTTTTATAACTTCGACTCTTTTTCAAACTGGTATGCGGGAGTGGTGTAAATGTAGGTAACGATTACTCGAAAACGGCAGATTGTTCCTGAAAATCAGTTGGTAGGATTATGGAGTGATAACCCCTCATTCACCCTATCGAGGTTAGAGTTGGACCGGAGGTCCTGTTTAATACCCCCGGTACATCTTTTATAATGTTACCTTATGTCATACTGCCATGCGGGAGAGGGATAAATTGTTCGAAAACGGCAGATTGTTACTGAAAATCCCTTGGTGAGATTATGGTGTGATACCCTCTCATTCACCCCATCGAGGTTAGATTGGGACCAGACGTCCTGTTTACTAGCCGACCTTTTTGTCATGTTCATACTGGTATGCGGGAGGAGTGTAAATGTAGGGAACAATTAAATAAAAACGACAGATTTTTTCTGGAAATCCTTTGATGAGAGAACATTATAAAAAGGTGAGGCTATTAAATTTAACCTCCGGTCCGACTGTAATTGTGTTGGGATGATTGAGGGGGTATCGGGGTATCACACCATAATCCTACAAAGGGATTTTCAGGAACAATTTGCAGTTTTCAAGAAATCGTTACCTACAGTACACCCCCCAACAGTATGGAAATGAGTGAAAATTATAAAAAGGTGTGGCTATTAAAACGGACCTCCGGTCTCACTCAAACTTTGATGGGGTGGTTGAGGGTGTATGTCACCATAACCCCATCAAGGGATTTCCAGGAACAATCTGCTGTTTTCGAGTAATTGTTTTCCAAATTTACACCCCTCCCGCCTAAAAATTCCTCCCACCTGAAATTTAGTGAATGATCACAAATATTAGCAAGAACATATGGATACTAAATTACAAGCTCCTACATGATTACAACATTATACGTCTAGCTTTGTCCTTCATTAAAGACATAAATCAATGCATGTTTACTAAATCAATAATTAACTATTAAGTACAAAATATTATTAAATAATCTTAATCTACTTATTATAATTGTAACTCACCAGTCATCGACTGCTACTGAAAGCCATGTAAAAAAGGTAAAGCATTTACGCTCGCACGTTGGTAACTTTACCAGCAAAGTTTCATGCGTCTTTCTCAGACCGATACATGCTTACGAGTAACGCGAATTTTCAAAGTTCGCTCCGCCTCACAATGCACACAAAAAATGGACGATGAGGGCGCGAGCACGCGTAGTTGAACAGAGCTAGCTCCCATTGGAGGCAAATGACAGTATCCCACCCCCAACACACATACACACACACGGAATGGACTTACGTTCGAGATTACTTTTGAAAATACTGTATAAAAGTGGGGGTGGGGAAGGGGTCTTATCAAGATGAGCTTTTTCTTGAGATTAAGCCCATTGGGCTAATTGTCGAGGTTTTATTACGGTAGGAGGCTACCACTGCATTTTATTTCCTCTCATTGTGGAATGCTGTGAACATGAAACTAGTAAGCGGCTATATGCTATAGTTAGTCCTACATTAACCTTTACCTACCCTTTATCAGTTTTAACAGTAACATGAAATGCCTAACCAGAATGCGCGTGCTTCTTCACATGGATTCGCTCCATGCACGGGAGCTCTAGGCAGCTGCCTTCTCCTTCCCCATCCAATGAAAGGGACTTCTCCCAAACATATTACTCGTGAAGTGAAGGCGGCTTCGAGGGGTGGAAGCATGCAGTAAAATATCCAGAAATTTTAAATAGAGGGTCCTTCCTATAGAGTGACTTTTACAATGATGTGTCTAGACCACGTAAGTAGGGATCTTTCGATTTGTCCGACGATTTGACGCTGGATCGTACCGCGTCTCTGCACAAAGTATTACGTCCTAGAATCCACGCGATAACGAGAAATTAAAGGCTGTTTTCCACTAGGCGAATTTATTGGCGCGAGGAAAGTGTGGTTCGCTTCCGAAGCTCTGACTGGTTGCGCATGTTCGCTTCGCAAAAAGTAGAAACAGTCGAACTAGGCCTACTGATTTCGCTGCGGAAACTCCGATAAAAATGTGAATCCGCATGAGCAAGGCATGAGCATGAACCGACGCTTTCGATTTTCAACAATAAATTCGCCAAGTGGAAAACAGCCTAGGCCTATGCCTTCTCGCATGCACAGATGACTTTATGTGACGTCATTACGTTCTACGTGTACAATCGAAAGCCTATTGTATGGCTATGGCAACTATATATATTATCGGAAATGTCACTGGTCTTAAATTTGATACTTCCTTTTTTTTTTTTTTTTTTTTAATTTAGAAGAATCGGGCTGTGGGAGGGGGAAGGCTTGGGTGCCTCCAACTTGAATCAACTCCTACATGCCACATTTGAACTTTCAGGTATTCTATTCACATTAGTGTTATATTGTCCTTCATTTATGCCAACAGGATCTCTAGGATCTGGTGACTGTTTGCCAGTCAGTGTTAATCCTGATGCAGAAGAAGGCCAGAGGGCGGCGGAAACAGGTGATCCTGAGGACGATGATATTGACGAAACAATTAACGAACCTCATAATCCACCAGACATTGAGGATCCAGGTGAGTCCCTTGACTGTGGACCTTGCAGTAAATATTTTCAAAAAATATCTCTTTTATGCTAGGCCTAGTAGGCACTTCCATGCACTAAATTACAAATTCAAGCTTTGCAAATACATTATTTTACAGTTTAAGTGCAATTGATCGCGTTTACTTAAAAATAAAACAAGTTAAATAAAGTTCATCGGCCATTCCACTAAACCCCGCCCTTGGATATTGTTTTTAATAAGGTTCCAAAAACGAAAAGCGCAAAGACATGCGCTTAGGTGGGGGAAGGGGACAAGCGTAATCCTGGCCCTGTTCTTATTGGTTAGTTGTTTTTTACATCTGATCAACCAAACTTAAAAGTTTGAAAGGCATCACGGAAAGGTCCATTGTGCCACACAGATACTGACTGTTACATTTACAGGGTCTATGGGCCTATAATTATGCAAGGAAATCATATGGGAAATGTCAGTGTTTTATTTACACGTGTGAATTAATCAGCAACGGTTATAGGATACATTCTTCTATCATGTACCTATAAATAAGAAATATATTGTTATTTTGATACACTTCAGCGAGTACTCTTCCACCTGATCTGCCTGCCGATAATGAGTGTTATACTGCAGAAGATTGAAGTGATTATTTTGGAGACGTGAGCGTTACTGTAAGCGGACTAGAATGCCAATCATGGGCCGAACGAACACCACATCGTCCAATAAAAAAGTACAGAGGTGACCGCAATCCACTGATGCACCCTAACCATTTCGGACAACACAATCACTGTCGGACCATTCATGGCAATACGTAGAGGAGCCGATAGGATTAACCTCAGCGGTAGGACTGGCCCATGGTGCTATACCATGGACCCAGAATTGCGTTGGGAATATTGTAATGTCGGCGAACCTCAAGAGAGTTGTTAAGTACTCTACGTCGTTTTTGGTGTCGAATTGTTTAATTTAAGGTTTGTCTATAACTATTATTATTTTTTATAGGAATGTGGGTTTGATTTATTTTCAATTCTATTTAAATGTTGTTATTGTACCGTTATTTCGGATTTACTGATAAATTCAGTGATATAATAATAATAATAATAATAATAATAATAATAATAATAATAATAATAATAATAATAATAATAATAATAATATACAAATTGATATTTATTGGTCTTTTTTCTTCGCAGAAATTACCTGATTGTGACCCGGCTTATTCGACGCAAACATTACCTTTTACTAAGTGACTTCGACCTAGATATCTATTTATTATATAATTTTTTAAACAATTATTCATATTCGCAAGACAATAGAGATAAAGATAAGATAGAAACAAACTTGTTTACAGATTATCGATCGCATTTGATCCATGTTCTATGGATCACATATAGGCCTAGTTTATCCAATCATTAAATCCATAGGCCTAACTGGAAATTAATTTACTACTATTTTCCTGATCCTTTGAAAATTTAATGAAAGTCATGGAAGTTTAATTTCTTAGTCATCATTCTTAGTAGTTGTCTCATTGGTGAAGCGGGCTTTCGTCTGAATAAAATACTTTGAAAATCGCAAACGGTTGTGCTATTATTGATTTAGTGTTTCACACCATGTTTAAAGTTGGTCTTAGATAATATATCATTCTGTAAATGTTATTCTCTTTCTTCTCGAGTTACTAAGTAGCTAGTGTGTATGATTTTGCTTACGTAGTGTGGTAGAAGGATTCGCAGGTAGGATACCTAACATGGGCCGCGACGTAAGGGCTCCTTTTGTGACCAGACAGGGAGCTGGAATGGACCAGCACACCGGAGAAACTCCCTACTCTTCTCGAAGGATGTACTAGGCTCTTTAATGTGCACACGAGCCAATTGTGTACACTGGACTTGTTCCACCACCGGAACCATAGGCGAGCGTGCCGTTTGAACCCCCCGATATTATGACTGTGTATGTCACGGTTTCCCTGTTGCCGCTCGGTCAATCGACTCACCAAATGTTATTAAAACCTGAATTACTCATTTAAAGCGATCAAATGAATTCCATCGAAAGTTAGTAGACGAAAAGTGGTTATTGAGATACGACTCAAAAATGTACAAAAAAATGGGAAAAAATGACAATTGTTTCCGGTTTATGGTCCTCACAGGGAACAGAACAAAAGTGAACATAGAAATTCATGAGATTCATTCGTAGGCCTAATTGTTGTTTCAATTTATTTCGAAAAGTTTTGTATATATAATGTAAGAAGAAATAAACATTCCTGTATCTGTCTCAAAATAAAATATTTATTGTGTTTTGTGTATAATATATATATATTATATATGTATAATATATATATATATACAAAATTATTTTACAAATAATTTAAACATGAGCTGAGAGTTAATCGGATAATGCAACTTAGTTCTACATGGTTTAGCTATCAAATTGAATATATTAAATTCCTCGAACCACCAAACCCTCCACCCCTACACACTCCCACAAATACATATCCTTTTCTACTTGTCTGATAAGTTGCGTGTTACATCTTTCGAATTCCAAGATATTCAGGGATATATTAACATAATTATCCACCTAAAAAACCCGTAGTCTGATACACCGTAACCATTATACTTGCTATTAAATTGTGTTTAAGCTGAAAGAAGGCAAAATAATAGCTGAATAATGACGTCATATGTCGGTTCTCCTTCAACATCATTGATGTACAGCATATTATTTCTTGAAAATATTCGGTGTCAATGGCTTATATATGTGTACATCACTTACCTTAAATGTCGCACTTTGCTTAATCATCAACAATATCCATCTAACGTTCTTGACCAAGTTCCAAATTGTACCTTCGTAGATGCAGTCAAATCAACTTAACATGCAGTTTCGTATTCAGATTACCTTGATTGAAAAAGAAGAAATTTCCACTAATATCTCTAGAAAGAGGCCAATTTAGAATTAATCTTTCTAGGAACAGTTTAGAGTACGTGCGAGTTGTTTTCGATGTTAAGTTGGGATATGTCTTTACAAAAATGTAAGCTGTTCCGCGAATAGAGAATTTGTAAGGTAACAGTAACGACACATGATTCGACTTTGCGCGGTTAAATTCATCTCAAACCACGCCTACGTGACACGCGAAGCTGGCGCATCAATATCATTGCCCTTGTCTGCTGCACTCCAGGTCAACTAATGAATTGAAATTTTCCATGTATCGCGTTGTATAATATAGCCACGGAATTTCTAAATAAGATCAAGCATAACTCCGCCCATTTTTAGCATTTTAGAAAAGATTTAAAAAAAATATACAACCTGGTCTTTTTTTTCCTTTCCATGGTCAGCGTCAAACGATATGTATAAATCACGGTTAGGGAGATTTTTACGGAATGGATTCGCGGCGTAGCAGCTACTATATTCAGGTGAGGTGTAGCCGAGCTGTATAATGTGTAAAGTTATGCATGTGTATGGGATTCAAATCTCTCGCTTATTTATTTATTATTATTATTATTATTATTATTATTATTATTATTATTATTATTATTATTATTATTATTATTATTATTATTATTATTATTATTATGATTATTATTATTATTATTATTATTATTATTATATTGTTATTATTATTATTATTATTATTATTATATTGTTATTATTATTAACTTTTTATTATTTGTGAATCTATAGAACACTTTTTTTCATATTTTATTTTTCCACAATAATTTTTTCTTAGTATAAAATTTGGACAGCAGGTTGCGACATCACGATCAGAAATATTTAAAAAAAAACGTAACATCTTCATCTACTCCAATCAACCCGCCAAAATGGCCTAGCGTTATAGGCCTCAGGTGGCGTTATAGGCCCATCAATCGGGCTTGCACGCCGTCGGGACTGCTTCCAGTTCGCTGGCCAATGACACATGGTCGATCAGCTCGAGTTGGCCCGACCTAGGCAAGATTCGAGCGAACCATCAACTCGAGAGTACTTGGCAATACCCTCTTCCCCACTTCGTGGGGCGAGGGTAATAATTCAGATGTCAGAGAACGCGAAGTCGGTAAAACAAGTATTCCATTTAATAATTTTAATAAATGGCTAATTGTGTTACAGTAATTCATTTTGAAGTCCTGTTTTTTGAAGGATGTTCTTCCTAAAATGTCTAATGTCTAATCGGTTTATTGTAGTGAACTAAAATAATTGAAAATGAAACTAACAATAAAAAAGCATTATGGTGTATTATAATAATAATATGTTATATTTATATAGTGCTTAATGCTAACAAGGCCTCTAAGCGCTTCACATTACTATAGCCTTCGGTAATTGGATTAGATGCCTATGGAACACAAACTGTTCCATAAAGTTGCAGCAGCTACATCAGCGCATTTTGGCATTTGTAAATTTACACAGCGTGTTACTCACTTCCTCGCTCATGGCGATAGTCAGCCATTAAACATGCTTCAAATTTATTTAATAACAAGTAAGTATTTTTGATATTTGTCGTATTCTAATAAGTAATTTTATGTACTGAGTCGTCATAAACAGTATTTTTTTTTTTATCACGTTACAGGTTTTTCAATTACTTTGGCTTTCACATGCTCATCTCTAAACCCTATACATTTAACTTCAGCTTCGAACGAACAGCAGTTTGTTGAAAAAGGGTGTTTCTATAAGTTTATATTTAATCAACCAGGATGTAATACATCGCCATATTGTACAAGAAACAATAAAAATCTGGATGATGAAATTCAGACATTTAGTAACACTGAAATCGGATTTACCTCTAATTTTCAAAATATATCCAGCTCTGGATTGTACGTATGTAAACTGACAACACCTATCTGCATTGAAACATATAAAGTTCAAATTTATGTATACGGTAAGATTTACCAAATGTTAATTACATTCATTAAATAGAGTAAAACATTTGTCATTGTTTATCGCTAAATTTTAATATTTCTGGGTGAGCTCTCGTTGAGTTAAATTATAGCCATGTTTTAAATGTATATTGAGAATTTCCTTTATTTATGATTTAAGCGTACTAAAATTAGAACATTTATGATTATTTGTGGTGTTTAATATATTCTATTTGTAACAGAACCACTTTACTTTTCAACTGCTAGTCGATGATGTATGTATGTTTGTACCGAAATAAAATAAATAAATAAATACTATTATTAAAGGAAGTAGCTTAGTCCCCATTATTATAACCCTCAAACACAAATTACATCAAAAAAATAATACTTTTCGCTGATTTTTGCTGATTTGTATTCTACAAAAAATCTTATATTGAATACCAGCCAATATAAGGGTCTACGCAAAGGAACACAGGAAAAGTATAATTTAATTCTCCGTTAATTGAGGGGGAAATTTTTCCTCTTCAATAATTTTAATTGTAAGTTCAATGGAATTCAATGTTTCAATTAATTTAGCACATGACAGACATTATGTCTTAAAATAACTATTATTAATAATTATGACAGTGTCTCCAAAGAATGTTCAACTTAGTGCACACGAAAGAATGGATAAAAACCTAGTTTCTATGGTTGCACCAAGGACTAACTACAGCTGCTGCAGCAATGGAATGGCACCAGCAGCTAAAATTGTGTTTCTTTTAGAAGATGAATTGATAAATGGATCCACTGTAACAACTGTAACAAGGAACCACAACAATCCAAGCTTGTACAATGTTTGCAGTTATGTTGAAATTTCACTATCATGGAAAAATGACGGGAAGAATATCTATTGCAAAGTGTATCAGCCTCAAATTAGTAAAAGAAAATTGTAACATACTGAAATTTTAAAGGATAGAATTTGCATTTTATAAATAGTAGTTGTAAATAGTTAATTAGGTGCCTTATACCATAGAGAAAATAGAACATGCGTATATGAAATTTCTATAATAAAAAATTTCAATAAATTAATTTAACGTTTTTCCTTCGATAGATTATAAAGAAACGGAGGTTAAAAGTAAAAATATTACACTGAATGGTGAGTAAAGCAAATACCATTTCCTTTCTAGCATTCGCACCATTATATTACAATAATAATAATAATAATAATAATAATAATAATAATAATAATAATAATAACATATGTAATAATAACAATATGCAATTTAAGAAACACCATTACTAATATTAACATTCACATCATTATTACGGGTACATGTAGAATAATGTAATTATACTAATTTGCAATTTAAGAAAACCCTATTACTTCTTATAAACGTAAAAAAAAGGGAATGATTTAATAATTCTATATAAGCGTTTAAACTCTATGTTCCCATGATATCTTGTTTCATATTATATTCTAATGCTCCTGTTCGTTTTCTCCCCTCTAAATTTCTCTCATGTCAATGTTTGTAAGAATTTTATTATTTTGTAGGATTTCATCTCTAGATAACGTTTGTAAAAATCATATATATATTTATTTTTATATATATATGAACATATATATCTCTTATACACATCTAGATATTCTGCTGTCTGTGCAATTTTTCGCAGTCGCATACTCCTCTTCTTTACCCTTTAAACTTTATATACATGTATAAAGTATTACCGCAAGACTATTTGGAGTTTATTTCTTTAAGGGATGTATTACATATATTTATATAGGCTACATAGATCTACCACAGTACATGGAAAAGACAAGCCAAACCAGTCAATCGTCGCAAACATCGATTTTTAGTCATTAATACAGGGTTAATGATGGAAATAAAAAATATAAAATGGTAAAAGAATAATTTAAATTAAAAATTTTACAACCGTTTAAACATAGCCGTTAAAGAACGATCAGAAATCAACCTTCAAAGTTTATGATTTATGGTATTTCTTAGGCAGAAGCATCACCAAATTGTTAAAAATTGTTGTTTTAACATTGAAAATGGGAAAAATAACAATATATCATGATGTATAGATATATAAAAGTTTGTTTAGTACAACAAATATATTTCAAAATTGTTGGACATTTCAGCTTGTTTTAGCCATTGTCTCTGAAACACGATTTGCGACGAGTGACTGCTTTGGCTTGAATCTTGAATCATTGTTATCATTATCTTCCTTATTTATTTATTATTTTTATATATTCTTCTCCTCTTCTTTTCCTTCTCCTACTTTTTCTACATGTAATTGGATAAAATTGTAAAGGCTAATGTTTTTAACCACAATAGGCCATTATTATGCCTTTAACGTCTAAACTTAAAGTCATTTTCATTCAAGTCTTTTAAATTATGTGCAAAAACCCAACAAGGACATTATAATTACTGTACAATTAGGCCTATTCGCTTTTTTCTACATTAGCCGTAATTGAGTTTTTATCACCAATCCACGCTCAGCCAAGGCTATTTTGTTACTGAAGGTGACAGCCTTGCTTTAAATTGCTCTTCAAATTATCCATTTGTTGCCTCATACACCTGGAAACACGAAGAGTCTGATAAAGTTGTTGCTAGCGGAATCATCATGAACGACACAAACATAACCTGTACCGAAGCTGGACATTACGTTTGCACTCTTAATCCTGACAACGAACGAAATTCTACTAACGTCAAAACCAATGTATATGTGTCATGTATGTACTGTAGCCAATTATTAATTTTTGGATATTTAGGTAAACAGTAGGTATTGTTAAGTCATTACGATTATCGGCCCATTGTAACCTAGTCTTTTGCCACCCGGCCTTTGGTAAAAAGTTTACTCTACTTACAAGAAAATTGAAAAAGATATATATTTTGAAATATAGTCCTGATTTGCCTTAATTAATAGTTTGATATTAATACAGTATTTTATTATGTATTACCTTTTCATGTTATTGCTTAAACAGCACAGTTTTCTATTTACTATTTGTCTTGCTTTGTTATGGGGATCATCATGATATTATTATTATTATTATTATCATTATTGATATTATTATTACTATTATTATTTATATTATTATTATTATTATTATTATTATTATTATTATTATTATTATGACGTCGAAATCATCGTTCATTTAATTTTTTTTATGTAAAGGTGCACATATCGATGAAATGTAATGTAAATGTATTCGGAATTATAAATTTATTTTTTCTGTTTAGGTCTTCCACGCCAACCAGTCAACATTAGTGTTCTTGGGTTGACTGGAAACAAAATCATTTTTTATTGGAGTCCATCACTAGTTTCTGGGAACCAGACGCAATATATAGTTGAATGGAAAAACACTGACATGGAAATAATTGGGAACCAAACATTGCCAGTTCTTGACAAATCTCCACCATTTGGCTTTACCATTGAAGGCCTGGATATAAGCGCTTTGTCTATGATTGGTATATATGGTAAAAATGAAAATGGAAAAACTGAATCTGTTATAATTTATACCAGCTCAAAGACCACTGATTCGCCTGCATATACCAACGAGGGTAAGCCGACGTGTTTAAAGAATACGACGGAAGAAACTTTTATGATCCAAAGAGGTAGTTCGATTGAGCTGCTATGCTTACCTACGTCTCCAATCTATTATCTATTCATCATTATGGCCCTTAATGCCGGGAACTTACTGCGTCGTACGACGGTAGTACGAGACCGACGCACGACAAATCTAACTCCGCTCCCGGTGAGAGCTAGACGATGCGACGCCGTATGCTCTTTTTCGGTGGCAGTCTGAACAAATCGTCATTAAATAAAAACGATCCGTTGAGCGCACGTCGTAGCGTTGTGTTCTGCATGGAATCGCTCCATGCACATTAATACTAACTAGTTATTTAATAAAAGGATAATAAGATAGCATTAGTGACCAAAACTCAATGTATGTCTCGTTATTATTCTGATAACTGTCACTCATTCGAAATGATTATTAGATTTAATTCGTTTTGTTTTAGTGGTTAATATCACAACTCCAGTCATCGCTGTAGGTTCTGTTGCACTCTTTTTTGCTGGGTTTTTAACAGCAGTATGTTTGTATTTAACGAAGGTGAGATGCTTCAAACAATTAACAAATCCACAAGGTTATATTCAATTCGACAAATATTTATTTAATTCCTTAAAAAAATAAAAAATACATTATGGTAGGCCCATATGTCATTAAAGATTAACACAACCTTAAAATAAATTGCAATTCGCACAGGGAAGGCACACGAAAGAGAAATTACAATTAACATTTAATTAAGTTTTTTACATATGTTTACTTATTAGAGATGCTTAAGGCGATTCAAGCAAGAAAAACAAGCGCAAATATCTGTAAGTATAATCTTATAACATGGGACAGACAAACATAATTAGTAAATTCGTGCTTATGTTCTCAACATTTATCTGCAATAGCAAATCTTGCGCTGTTATGGTTGATCAAAGGGTGTATTTTTTTTTATATTTCATAATGTGGCGTTTTGACGAAACAGGGTGTTTGTGGGTTATCAATTGGTCACATCTAGCTGCAGATTCTCTAAAAAGAAGCGGTTGCTTCCCTTTAGAAATTTTGTTTGCTTGTTCCTTCATCTTTGATTTTCATTATTCCAAATCCTGCATATTCGATCAGCACATCTTTGGTCTTCTAATTTATTTAATTTATTTACTACAATTCATTTACTATGAATTAAATGTGTTCTTCTTTTAAAGGCATACATGCACTATTTGCCGAAACAAGAGGACACCACTTACCAGGAGCTAGGTGATGTCACTGCTAAGCAATTTGTACAGAAAAATGAAAGTCCCGTACCTTCTGGTGCTGGTAAGGATGTTGAAGACTCGCCGTATATAAACATTGATAAAAATGCTGTAGTTAAAACACATGCCACGACTGTTGAGCTTCACAAACCTATACAGAGATTTAACAATTTGTACGAAAACACAACATAGAAGACCAGATATTTGGCACAGCATTTCATGTCAACACATGTATTTTGTCTCAGAATTGAGGTTTTCTTTGCATCTTATGTTATAAATGCTTATTTCGAGATTTTTTAGTGCTATTTAATCTGCAGTTATTTTGATATAAAAAAAAATATTTATACTCATTTGAGTATGCAGGCACATAGTTAAACGGTTTTCATGACATAGTATCGCAATGTACATATTAAATCAATTAAACAGTCGACGATTCTGACATTTTGGAAGACTATTTAAACGAAATAATATGGGCTGAAGTTAACATTGTACGATGTTTGAAATTGTTATTTGCTACTTATTACACTCAGATAAGGAAGTATAAAACATACTGAAAGTATTAAAATGCACTAATACAGGCCCCGAAATTCGAGAAAAGACTCCAATCAACTATGTCAACGCCTTAGATTCATCCTCAAGGTATTATTTCAGTTTGGAATCAGTGTAAATCTCTATACCTGGTTCAAACAACATTCCATAGAGTAGTGTATGAGGGGGCTGAATACAGTCTCATCCTCGATTTCTGGAGTCCCCTGGGCTCAATATATTGTTCAATATTGTTTAATATGCAGGCCAATGATATACCTAGCCTCTTTTCCCATTTCCGTTGCCTTATGTCTGCGGATGACCGTGAGATTTATAACATTATCAAAACCCCAGAAGACTTGAGTGCGCTTCAGAATGACGTCGACCGTCTTTTCAACTGGACCACTGTGTAAAGTCTGAAAATGTAAACTTCTCACATGCTCTTTAAAGAAAAACAAAATTGTTCACGATTACAATATAAATTGAAATGCCTTGGATAAAGTGATAGTGCACCTTTGTGACTAACTATTCACTGTCCCTTTGCTCAGTTATATACAACTACATTTCAAACACAGGCTTCTAGAATGAAATTCACAAGAAAAAAAATCAAACGATTCATCATCCCGCAGACCGGTTTGCTTGGTTGAAAAATATGGCTGCCAAGTTCTAGGCGTACTAAATGAGTTGTTATTGGTTTTTAAATCTCTTAATTCTAAATTCTAAATTTAATTGTAATTTGATTTCAATGTTCAATTTTTACTCTTATTTACGTAACATGCGCTGTAAAGATTTATTTAAAGTAACTTTTTTCTCGTGTGAATGAAAATAGGATTTTTGTCGTGTATATATAAAATATTTAGTTTTAAAAGTTTACTAATGTTGATGTATTCATTTGCAGCATTTCAGATTTTAAAAGAATTATTAATAATCATATTTAGGTGTCTGTGTGCAATTTTTTTTATATTAATTGAATTAAAAATACAGTAATTATTTTATTTTAAGTTTTGAACTATATTTTTGTAAAGTTTATATTTTAACAACCCTGTTATTGGTCTTTCTTAACACAGTTGGGTGTTTTCCAAAACTGTATCTAAACGTATCTTTCGTATTTCTCAAAATTTTAAATAAATTAAAAAATAGTAATTAAATTTAGTTTCCCAGAAAATTTCCTGAAAAGTGAGGCTCCACTTCCGGCATTCCTTATACAATATTTATTCTAGGAGGAGCAGTGCGATCGAACTCTAATTATTACCCGACACTGCCTGAGTTTAAACCAGTTTTTTTCGGAGCAATATTATTATTATTATTAATATTATTTACTTACTAATAGTACCTGTCCAATAAACTATAACGTTTATCAAGTCAAAATATAAATAATAATACATATTTTGATCATGGATTATGGAAATTTCTTATAAATTGTATGGAAATACATTTTAGGCATGCTTTGGCTATTGTTAAACATTTGTAAACAAATTCTGTTTAATTCTGATTAAATACTATTGTCCAAATCAAATCGATACATCCTATCAGAAGTAGGAATTTGTATTGCAGTGGAGTAAAAATAGCCTCTGCCTAAATTTTAACAATAATTTTACTGCTGGTAATAGTTACAGAATAAATTATATTAAGATTTAACATAATAAAAATATAGTACATTAAAAATGTGACATAAAATAGAGGAAACATTGCATTAAAAAATAAAATATGAATTGCAATAAAGATTAGAATATGAAGTTTTGAAAAAATATTATTAAAGCATCGCTATAGACTCTAGTTTTAATTCAAATAACACACATATAAGCAAAAAATACACTTTGCTTACTTGGTATTTGCCATTCCATAGCTGGAATATTTGACTGTCTTGGACTTAGAATATTTGACAAATTTATTGCTTTGTTGTTACGAGAGAAATGCAGTGGTGTTTTACAATATAACTTATTTATAATTTATATAAAACTATAAAGCTGTAAATAATGGTGGAAATATATTTAGTAATCTACTACAGTGCTTTTATTCTTTCATTGGCTCTTTCTAACATTGAATCTATGTGTCTCCGTAAATGCACTTATTTGATGTGATAAAATGTAAGAACCCTAAATGTCATCATTTTTTCTTTTTGTTATGCAGTGGCCATTCAGTTATGTTGTTGTTGTTCAAAGAAGATGTGGCTTTTTACTGTGTGTGTGATGTTGTATAGAGCCCCATTACCAATGAAATATCTCCGAGGAGGTTCTTTATCTTCATCTTCCATTACTACTCCTTTGTGGTCGTTGTCATTTTCTGTTGTTTGAACCGAGTGAGATGTGATGCGGTGTTAGGTTAATTCAAAATTCTTATTATGTATTTGGCATTATTGAAAACCATTGCTAATAAACGTGAGTTTTGTGCATATTTTGTTCTGTTCGTTACTGTTTGATCTTTAGCAATTCGCAGCTGAGAAGCAATGTGTATATAAACAATTGTCGACTGCTATTATACGTCTGGAGAAATTTGCAGTAGCCAAAGGCTTATGTAACAATAAAAGTCATTTATTACAGATTAATTTTGTTCGAATTCCTTTTTTTCTGAATAATGCTATTCGGCTGGCATAAGAAATTGCTAACGAATAAAGATATTTGAAACAATCAGTAAACCCAGGGAATACTGAAATTACAGTGTAATTTAACTGTTGCCTGGTAAACGTACATTTCAAAAAAGATCGGTGTTAGATCGTGGATTCAAAGCCAGCGGGTAGTTTAGTAGTATATTATTATGATGTACTTTAATGTTCGATTAATTAATTAGGAGCCAGTGGGTAGTTTAGTAGTATATTACTATGATGTACTTTAATGTTCGATTAATTATGTTTGTGTTTATAAACCATGAGTGTAGTAATGTTAAAATTAATGATTTTAATGTTAGGATGTTATATTTCATTTATTTATTAAGACAAGTGCACTGGGGCCACGAATGCAACAAAGTTACCATGACAAAAGTCTGAAGCCCAGGTAAACTAAACTTAACTATATGCTTAGCTATAATATAACAATAAGATCACAAAAGTAAAAAAATATATAAAAGGCCAAGAAAAAAAAAATCCGATTTTGCAAATTTATTTTTAATTATTTGTGGGTATTTAATATTCAAAATAGCAATCAAATGTCGACGATGATATTTTCTTTATTAACTTTCTTTATTTACACCACATGTGCTTCATAAATATTTACGTTTTAATACTTTTGTAAATTTTGCTAAAGTAATATTTGCAACAATGATCCTGTTTTCTATATATTTAGAGCTATAAATTAAGGAACCAAGGATTTTATTAACTTTCGAATTATTGTGATTTGGCTTGTCAAATTGCACACACTCAATTTTTGCTTGACTGACTAGTTCCATTCACTTAAAACATCTAACATATTTGTTAATGACTCCAAATCAAAATCAATAAAATTTAAATCATCGGCATAAAATACTCCATGGGCATTCCAGTATTAGAAATAGGTAGATTAGGCTGCTATGTTGCAGTCCGTACACAATTATGATGTCCTCAATACGTTTGAGTGTGATAAGTGACAATATCTTTCTTAGTGAATTGCTTAGCCTGATTGGTGAAGATTTTGTATGGGTCCTTAGGCTTCTTAGGTTTTTTGAAGTGGTGACAAGATAGCTACCCCAATGCAGTTATAAAAAAATGTTTCAAAGCAAGCATTGGATACCTCTGCGTACTGATTATATAACTCATCAAAGGCATACTTTAAGTGAGACTCGATTCGCTCTACTAGGGCCCCACCCCCGGCGGGGCCTTTAGCCCCTCCGTCGGGCAGGTCCTGGCGCCATCACTGACGCAAAATAACCTAAAGCTTCTTCATCTGCAAGTCTAAATTGTTTCGCGAACCATTATTATATTATTATATTATAATGATTTTGCTATTCGTTAACATCTTTTTAGATTTTCCTCATTGTATATCATATATGAATTATTTTTAATTAAAAAAATATATATGTTATGTTTAAATATTACTAGGAATTCTCATTGGACTTTGCATCATGTTATAGAAACATCGAAAACGAATACAACATAAGCAATCAAGCAACCTTAAATATTTTTATTTTTTAAAAGGGGCTAACACATTACTCAGTATTACCATTCCGCAAGTTCAAAACCTTTTCAATATTTCAAACCCACAAATAGTGTCTAGGGGAATTTTTCGTATTATATAAGAAGATTTAGAATAAGATTTTCTGTATTATAATAATAATCGTATCCAAGAGCGTTCTATAACATACATATTAAAAAAAACTCGTATGAAAAAAATATATTAGGAAATTGACGACTTAGAAAACACAAATTTTATTACCGATATTTTTTAAACTGCACTTTTATAGAAATACTCAGTGGAGAGTGCAGTAAATATAGACAGTTATGCGATAAAAGTCATACTTAAAGTTCTATATATATATTACGCAAATATATTAAAATATATTTATATGTAGACTGTATATACGATACAATTATGTAAAAACACAGTCATAAAACACAGCTTTTAATTATAAACAGGATTATGAAGCAACCAAATACGACCTCAGTTCTTCCTCAATGTCAGATCAGTGGCGGCTCTAGGGTATATGGGGTGGGGGGGGGGGGGTGAAGTAGTCTTAAGCTCGCAGGCTCCAGCTGGTGGAAGGGGTTCTCCCTCCCAAATGAGACTTTTTTAAAGAATATCAACCTCTGGATGGCCGAAAATGGCACTCTCAGACTGTGACAGACATGTGTTGGCTTGGTGTGGGCCTATTTTTATATGTTTTATTAATGAAAATTTGTGAGAATTTCGGCTTTCCGTTAATGTTATGCTGTGATATTATACAGTATTATGTTTAACGTAGCAAAGTTTTTGTTCTGTCGGTCATAGGACAATCGTCAATGTAACAACCTCTAAATTATGGGCCCTGTAGAGTCGAGAAAACCTCGCAGTGTTTTACCACTACAAACACAACGGACATATATGGATATAACTATTAGCCCTACCCCGTATAACTCTCAAATTCGGAATATTCGAGGAGCCAATCAATCAGATTCCAATTTATACCCGACATTAGCAGGGTGTGAATTGGGGCATTCAGCACAAGAAACGAGAACCATATACCTCCCAGCCAACTGCTACTATTTGACCCTTGATTATTGTAAGATTATTTTAAACAGATTTTATTATAAAATGTAAACATACAGTATGAACATTAATTTCAAAGAGATATATGTGAAAAAAGCTTGGTGTAGTAGTTAGAGGAGTGTTTTCCACACTACCAGCCTGGGTTAAAATCCCAAGGAACTACTTGTTTTGTTTTTCATTATTTTTTTTATGGGGACAATATGTGGGGGAAATTTATACTGTGGAGAATTTTGATGTGGGCGGAGGTATTATTATTATTATTATTATAGTATTAGTATTACTATTAGTAGTATTATTATTAATAGTATTAGTAGTAGTATTTATATTAGTAGCGTTATTATTAGAATTATTAGCAGTATTATTTATTTATTTATTTATTTTTTTAATTTCAACTTTATTTATAGAGGTGGCCCTTCCAGCTGAACCCGGAGGCCAGTTGATGTTCATTGGCCCTCTTTAAAATTTCAATAAAATACAGAAGAAGGAAAATTATCAAAAGGACAAAACATCACCAAGACAAAGACAAAATTCAGCGTTATTATGTCAATAATAATAATAATAACAATAATAATAATAATAATAATAATAATAATAATAATAATAATAATAATAAAATAATAAC